TTTAAAAGGGCTGACTGAGAATCAAAGAACAGCAGCATACACGAGGGAAACCAAGGAAACCTCACGGGGTCCGAATGTGCACATATCCCATCACGTAACCATTTCCGAATCAATGTCTCGAGTTTAGGGCACTGGCGATAATGGTAAATCGAATCCAAGTCCGGCATGTCAGAAGTATTGCAACCAAACACACAACCCATCGGGGCGGAGTGAAAGCGAGCATATGTGCAAATAAAGCCAGTCAACATACGTAGCGGCGCGATCCCCAGGTACATGGAGGTGGACTCGCATACCGCTCGGGTCGCCTTACACAAGCAGGAAATGTGTGAGGCCGAGGCCGCAGGGTATAGCTTCCGAGCTCTCCTCAACATCGTGAATGAAACTGGTTCGCCATCTCGAATGGCACGGAACTCGAGGTAGAGATTCTGCTGAAGCCGAGGGGAGGAGGCGTCAAGTTGGATGGGGAACCCGAGAAACCAAGAACGCATACGGCGAGCATAGCCCAGGAAGGACGTAATATTCCAACCAACGTGCCATCGATACGGATGTGTTCCAAATCAGTTCGAGCGTCTTCCAGCAACTCAAAGACCCCAAAGAGGAACCGAGATTTCAGAAGATACCGACTATGTGTAGCCCAAGAGACCGCCGTAAGGTCGATAAACTCCGGGCGGAAGCCGAGATCCGTTAGATGCGTAGCAATGTTAAACGATATGGCGTTGCGGGGGCCAGAGGTAAGACGCATGACAGCTTCGCGATAAAGATGGAGTAACTCAGGGCTGGGAAGGTAAAGCTGGAGACGAAATAACAGTTTGGAGAGGCGCATCGCGCGGTACGCCATTGCACTCCGAGCCACACCTAGTCCTAGCTGACGAGTTTGGCAAATACGCTCCAGAAATCCAGGAACCACCGACTGCCAGGCATTCTCCGCAGCCCCAGGGCCGATCGGAAAACCAAGGTAAACCGCCCAAGTTCCAATCTTGATGCCTCCGAAAGGGTCGCCATAACTCGTGAGCACAGACGCAAGACGAGCACCGTCCAGCGCGCCGCAAATAATCAGCACGCACTTCGAGAAATTGAGGCGCAGATTCGCCATCTGCTCAAGGTGCATGAGGAGCGTGACAAGTGGGCCAAGCTCTGTCAGCACATTCTTCAGACCGAACAGGAAATCGTCAGCATAGGCGAGGGTGAGAGAGATGGAAGGAATAGAATAGCGACGAATCCATCGCAACAACGGGTCAACGGCTAGGACGAAGAGGTGCATGGAGGCTGGGCACCCTTGTTTAACCCCACTCCCGATCGGGATAGTCTGAAAACGCTGACCAGCAACAGTGACAATCGCGATGTTCTCAGCATACATAGCTTCAAGGAAGCGTCGAATCGGCCACGGAATGTTCATCTTCGAGAGGACAAAGAAAAGCCAGGATTGAGCGAGGCTAGGGAAGGCCGAGGCAAAGTCAGTCAGGAAGAGGGCTGCTTTCTGGTCATCTCTGAGGTGCATTTCTAATCCCCACGCCTCCGCCCTAACCACGTTCTCAATCATGTCCCTCCCGCCAACGCACTTCTGCCCCTCCCCAATCATATCCTTCGTGTTTGAAACAACAGGAAATACGATCAACCGCTAGCAGCTTAACATCTGCATTGCTCATGCTCAGCGGGCGCGCGCAGGCAGGCGAACGTTGCAGCGGAAAGCCGGCGCGATCAGCGTCCTCGACGCCCTTCGGAAGAAACACCAGCAGGCTGCAACGCACATCCTCGGGTAGACAGTCGAAGTCATCTTGAAAAAGAATGAGGTAGCACGTGTAGAGCAGCCTCGAGGCCGCGGGTTTCCAGACCGCATATGGGATCCCGTCAGGACCAGGCATGCTGCGGGGCCTCCTGAGGAGCATCTTGTGCCAAGAAATATAGTCGAGCTTCCATTCCTCGGGGAGGGGGTTCTCAAGTTTCTGGATGCGGGGCGCGATGTCAGTCCAGAGGTCCTCCGAGACACACGGTTTACTGAACGTGTTAGCCCAGAAGTCACCCAAAACCTTCGCAGACCCCTCCAAGGTACGACACGGGTTCCCCGACGCATCGGTCACCGCCCCGAGGACAGAGCGACGCCGAGACTTCCGCCAGAGAAGCTGCCTTCGTTCAAGCTTCGCCTTGAGAGCGCGCCGTTGAGCCTCGTCGATCTCAGCTCGAGTGATTTCCTTCTCCTCCTCCTCTAAAGCATTCCGATACAAACGGCGAACATGTTGCGTCAACCCGTCCAGGCTGCGGCAGTTGAGATCATTATCGACATGCACTCGGAGCCTCTCGTACGCGGCCAAGGCGGAGCGGAGGCGGCGTTGATCAGGCAACAGAACGGCGCGCAGTGCAGACATCGCCCAAAAGTGGCGCTCCTGTAATGCACGGGCTTGCCGAGAGTGAATCGACTGCCTTGCCACTCGACACGCATCAAAAAAAGAATTCTTTAGCGAGAGAGAGCTGCCTCCAAACATTCCAATCCTCAGGGATGTCCTGGAGGAGCTTTCCGGCTTCCTGTCCAAACTCGGGCATGCCAGCAATCCAGGGGGGGATAACAGGATGCATGGGGGCCAGGGGTGAACCTCTCAATCGTGGATCGCATCGGTATGTGGTCACTGGGCATGGCAGCACTTAACACTCCGACCGTTGAAGTAGTAATCGTAAAATCCCTAAGCAGAGCAAGCGCCAAAGATGTATAAGTCCTGTCCAATCGAGCAGTTTGAGAAACAGCACGTCCCCGAAGACCCCTGCGAGTGTCCTGGGACTGAAAAAGCTCCGTAAGTGGGCAACCAGCTTGGAAAATAACCTGGAATGACGACTATCACCAGGACGAAAAACCATTGCCATCTCCTGGAAATATCACCCCCTCCTCGAGAACAAAATTCCAGTCGCCGAGTAGTGCCGCGCGAGTGCGCGCATCGTCCCCGTCCAGGAAGATGCCGAGAAACGTCGCGCTGCAAGCAATGAAGAACGCCAGAGAAGGTGGGGAAGGGGTCGGAGGTGTTGGGCACATGCACATTGTATACAACCATCGTACCATGTGAACCCTTAAACATGCTCTTGATGATCCTGCCCGCAATCAATGTCTCGTGCTCAACATCGGAGGAGAGAGAGAGAGGAAGGAACGAGAGAATGCCGTCACCACTCCACCTTCACGAGTAGAGTCAGGAGAAAAAACTGCTGGCAAACGAGCCATCGGGTTGTTCACGATCCAGTTCAGCAATGTCTCCATTGTGACCATGCGTCTCCTGTCCTGCGGTAGTGTCGTGCGTGCTGCATAGTTGTATGAATTTACGATAGCGTTTCGGAGCCCTCTTCGAGAGCGACCTCACTGAAGCAAGGAGTGCGTCAGTGTTCCAAGAGCAGAGGGAGAGAGCGGAGGGAGGGAGGAAGGGAAGGAGAGAGGACGGAGAGGGGGGAACAGGCACCTCACTGTGGGTGCAGTCAGCCTCAACGCGGAAAGGGGCGGCGGATCTGGACCGCCGCCGCTGCTAGCACCGACCCAAGAATGGGAACAATCTCAAACTCCACAAAAAATGTCACGATCACATTCGCAGGACACCTGACCTTCTGAGCCCACAGCCAGCTTCACCATTGGCGCAGGATCGTGAGGACGGCGCATGATGTATACTGTTCCACCCAAGCCCGTGCTTCCAACAGAGAGACCTTTCGGCGCCAGCGCCTGTGTGAGAAGCGATCGAACTCTACCCAGCGAAAGAAAGAACTTTCTCGAATTGATATCGAGGTCCCTGCGGAGACGGAGCTTGAAGGGGGAGGCAGGATTGAGGGGATCTGCAGTGGACCACTCTCCATCTGAACGAGAAAAGTTGTCTAGGAACGAGCTCGCCGCACTCGCATTCTCAAATAAAAGGGGAACCTTCTTCGATAAATCGAACGCACGAACGATGATGCCCGAGTGAGATTGGGCAGGGGCGAAAGCAGATCGGCACCGCTTTCCGATCTCTTTGAGATCAGCGAACAGCAGCGGTCGCGGGAAGCCTAAAAGCACAAGCTTGCAGGCGTCGTTCTGCTGGCTCTCACTGTTGCCGCCGCCGGCGGGGCGGGCGGCAACACCCCGTCTGGAGCCCTGCGGAGGCGGCCCTGCTGCCGCCTGCGAGCTCGCAACTTCCTCGATCCTCTTGGAGGCAGCTGCCTGGGCGTTCTGGAGCTCCAGCAGCTGGTTCGAGATCTGGTCGCACTTGTGGTCTAGGTGGGCAGTGGCGGAAGAGACGACCTCGCCAGAGCCTGTGTCCATGTACTGGTGGCTGGCTGCAAACTCTGCACGCAAAGTCTCGATCTTCGCATCTTGCTCTCGACCCGTCTGGAGGAGCTGACGCTGCAGATCTTCGTGACGACGACAGACGTCCTGGCCTAGGAGAGTGACCTGGTCCGCCAGCTGCCCGCAGCGGTTGAGGCTGCCCTGAACCGAAGCGCGCAAGTCTTGAACATCTTCATGATTCTGGAGAAGCATCTGGTGCATGCTAGCCAAGGAACCGCCGATCGTTTCCAATTGCTTCACAATGTGGCCTTCTTTCTCCTCATGTTCCCACCTCGAACGAACCTCAGGTGTCCTGCTGGCGGAACGACGGGGTGGACTCGTTGACGAGGAACTCCTGCGATTCCCACGGCGCGACTTTGCCCCCATCGCGGCCGTTGGTGAAAAGAACAGGAGGGGCTAGTAAGGTGACGGGGGTATGGCTCCAGCAGGAGCTCACCAAACAGAGGGCAGTGCAAGGCCTGGTGTGGGCTGCCTTGCAGGGCCTCAAATTTGGTCCTCAACCACCTCGACACATGTATTACTTGAGCCAAAATGGCTTGAGCCAAAATGGCTACGGAACAGCGAGCTGACATATTGTAAGGACATCTCGAAGCGAAAGGCTAAGATCCGTGGAGTACACGCTCCACTGACAGAGGGAGAGGGCGGGCGGGCGGGAGGGTGTGAGGGAGGGAGCGAGGAAGGGAGGGAGGGAGGAGGAAGAGGAGGAGGAGGAAGAGGAGGAGGAGGAGGAGGAGGAGGAGGAGGAGGAGGAGGGGTGCACAATCAACATGAGCAGTTCGGGCCGGTCGAAAGCATGTAGAGGCATGCGGCAGGAAGGCCGTTAAAGCGGATTGGGCTCTGGCCCGCCCAAGTAGTCGGCGATTGAGGTAGGAAACCATCGATGATAGAAGTAGGAAGTCGCTCAGAATAGCCTGGGTTGTGGGACCCCCAAACATCCGCTTTCAACGATCGGCCGTACAGATGCAGAATGGTCAAGGTGCAAGGCCCTACGGTTCCCATGCTGAAGCAACAGCGGCGGCGCTGGGCCAGCAAAACTGGCCCAGGACGACGGTCTGAGAAAGGCACGGGTGTCAAGGGCAGCCTTGACGAAACACTGCATCCTTGCTGCTAATCTTGACTGTAGGGGTCGGCGATCGGCGCATTGGCGCTGGCCTCCCAGGAAGCCACGGGGCTTCTCAGAAGCCCTCCCTCCATCCAAAACGCCGTCTTGGTCCTCCGAAGAAACACCCTGCTTTCTTAGAAGGTTGAAGTCAGGAAAAGGCGGACAATGCCCAAATCCTCCTCTCCCCTCCAAAAACACACACACACACATACACACACACACACACACGCACACACACGCACACACACACACGCACACACGCACACACACACACACACACACACACACACACGCACACGCACGCGCACGCACGCACGCACGCACGCACGCACGCACGCACACACACGCACGCACACCCACACACACACACACACACACACACACCACTCGTAGGCGCGCCGCCGAGGAAAGGCAAATGGAGGATGACCAGGGCGATGGGCGAGGACTGGAAAAAGAAGCACACCTGCCGCGACATGCTTTGCACGGCTGTGCCGCTTTGCTGCTCGGGGAAAACCCCGCCTCCGCGTCGGGAGGTGGCTCCGTTGTGCAGAACCTTCGGGACCGCCCGACCCAGCAGTCAGCACCCATTCACTATAACAGGTGAACTCCACGATGGATCGCCCTGGCTGCCACCCGTGGGACGCTCGGCGACATCTCCCAGAAATCCCCTCGTCGCCTGTTTGCCTGCCCGTGCCCAAGGGTAGACAACACGGCACCACCGCTCCGGCCACCACGTCACCAGAGCGCTGTGTCAATTACGCTACCGAAGAGCCCCACATACTTACTTTATGTCACGTGTGTTCACAAAACATATCACATCCCGCTTCGCCATCCTGACGAGCCAGACTGACCAGACCAGCCAGATCAGCCAGACCAGCCAGAGTGACAAGACCAGTCGGATCAGTCGTTCCAGCCATAACCAGCCAAAGTAATCAGACCAGCCAGCCACGTCTGCTGTGCCTGGACGACCGTCGTGCATAGCGGCCGCGGTGAGAGACCACCCCCTGCGCAGCCCCTGTGGTGTCGAGAATGTGCCACGCCTGCTGTGCCTGGACGACCGTCGTGCATAGCGGCCGCGGTGAGAGACCACCCCCTGCGCACCCCCTGTGGTGTCGAGAAAGTGCCACGCCTGCTGTGCCTGGGCGACCGTCGAGCATAGCGGCCGCGGTGAGAGACCACCCCCTGCGCACCCCCTGTGATGTCGAGAATGTGCCACGCCTGCTGTGCCTGGACGACCGTCGTGCGTAGCGGCCGCGGTGAGGGACCACCCCCTGCGCACCCCTGTGGTGTCGAGAAAGTGCCACGCCTGCTGTGCCCTGGACGACCGTCGTGCATAGCGGCCGCGGTGAGGGACCACCCCCTGCGCACCCCTGTGGTGTCGAGAAAGTGCCACGCCTGCTGTGCCTGGACGACCGTCGTGCATAGCGGCCGCGGTGAGAGACCACCCCCTGCGCACCCCCTGTGGTGTCGAGAAAGTGCCACGCCTGCTGTGCCTGGACGACAGTCGTGCATAGCGGACGCGGTGAGAGACCACCCCCTGCACAGCCCCTGTGGTGTCGAGAAAGTGCCACGCCTGCTGTGCCTGGACGACCGTCGAGCATAGCGGCCGCGGTGAGAGACCACCCCCTGCGCACCCCCTGTGGTGTCGAGAATGTGCCACGCCTGCTGTGCCTGGACGACCGTCGTGCATAGCGGCCGCGGTGAGAGACCACCCCCTGCGCACCCCCTGTGGTGTCGAGAATGTGCCACGCCTGCTGTGCCTGGACGACCGTCGTGCTGAGCTGAGCTGCGCTGCGCTGTGCTGAGCTGAGCTGAGCTGTGCTGTGTGCTGTGCTGTGCTGTGCTTTGCTGCGGTGAGCTGTGCTGTGCTGCGCTGTGCTGTGCTGTGCTGAGCTGAGCTGAGCTGAGCTGTGCTAAGCTGTGCCGTGCCGTGCTGAGCTGAGCTGAGCTGTGCTGAGCAGTGCTGCGAGGAGGAGAGGGAGGAGGAGGAGGAGACGCGGGTGAGACGCGGAAGGGAAGAAAGCCATAACCCCACGAAACATGTGGGGAAAACCCGCCCCCCTGAGGAACAAAGGGCGAACTTTCCTTCAGAAAGGCTCAGAACCGAGACGGACTCTTCGATGTTCGCCATCCAAATCAGAGGGAAATGCGCGGTTATGCTCGCGCTCTCGCGCCGCCGTGGACAAAGACAGCCCTCTAGCCCAGGCCACGGAACGCGAGGCGCGACTATACCTTCGCATCCCCGCGGGTGACCCGTCAAGGCGAGACAGGCGCTTGGAGGCTCGTAGTGCGTAGGTGATCTTGAAGTTCCATCTCCTGCGGTATGAGGTTCCCGCGGGACCCCCCGACTGCGCCCTGTCGCCGCCCTGGCCATCCTTTTGAGCGGTCGGTGGTCCAACCCTCGAAAGCTTGGGCCGAACACCAAAAATCTCGAAACGGGAAAAATCCCAACCCTGGAAAAGAAAACAACAATTTTGGAAGGGGTGCCCGCAACCCAACCCTGGAAAGGGAAAGGCCCAACCATGGAATACACCAGCCGAGGTTTGGAAAACACGGCATATGGAGGAGGAGAGGGAGGAAAAGAAGGAGGAGGAATACGAAAAGAGGAGGCCCGTGCCTGGCGCGGCGGATAGCGCCACCGCTCGGCGCGCCCTGCCGGCGCCGAGCGGCGGGCGCCCCGAGCATGGGAAAACACGACAGGACCAAAAGGAGGAGAAGGAGGATGAGAAAGAGGAGAAGGAACACGAGGAAAAGGAAACCCGTTGCCTGGCGTGGCAAAGGGCGCCAAGCACGTTGATGTTTGCCGATTGCTCAATAGGCTCCAAACGAACTTGGCGGCCATCGCCTGACCTGGAACTGTGATTTCTGACGTTGCTGGTATGATTCCGAACACGGCGAAAATCACCATATTTGGTCGGGCCACCTGTGCACGCCATTTGCTTGCAAACAACGACCGACATATAACGGTGACCCTTACCAGTTACCCGGTAGCTTCCGAAGAAATCCTAAATCGCCAATGAGGTCGAACCAACGGTGCGCGCCATCTGTTCGCACACAACCACCGACCTGGAACAGCAATTTCTGCCACTTGCCAGGTGGACGCAGACCAAGCCCCAAATCACCAAATTACGGCGAGCCATGTCACGCATTGGGAGAGAGAAAGGGAGACATATAAAAAGAAATAGAGAGAGAGAGAGAGAGGGAGAGAAAGAGAGAGAGAGGGAGAGAGAGAGAGAGAGAAAAAAAAAAAGAGAAAGAGAGAGAGAAAGAAATACATACATAAATGCAATAAAAAAAGGAAAAGAAACAGAGAGAGAGAGAGGGAGAGAGAGAGAGAGAGAGAAAGAGCGAGAGAGAGAGAGAGACAGAAATAATTACATAACTAAATAAACATAAAGGGAGATAACTATAGATAAACGTAGAGAGCGACAGAGAGAACGAAAGAGAGAGAGAGAGCGAGGGAGAGAGAGAGAAAGAGAGAGAGAGAAAGAGAGAGAGAGAGAGAAAGAGAGAGCGAGAGAAGAAAAGAGGGCGAGAGTGAGAGAGAGAGAGAATGAGTGCCAGAGACTGGTAGGAGATAGTGAAAGACAGGGAGAGAAACAGAGAGAGAGAGAGAGAAAGAAAGCTATATATATATATAATTAGCATTATCATGCTAAGAAGGAAAAAAAAAGGGAAGTAGAGAGAGAGAGAGAAGGAAATATGGATAAACACACAAACCACATCTCTAACACAGATACCTAGAGCGTGTGATAGAGAGACAGAGAGAAATATATGATCAAACAAATGATAGCTAGCGACAGCGAAAAGGGCATACCAACCCATAGTGAGAATGAGGAATGCAATCTGCATTTGTGAACTTATGTATAGGGCGACAGGGGTCGAGAAGCAAAGAGCGACAAAATTATTCACTGCGCGGGGATCCCCATATGTGCATCTCCTTGCTGGCGCTCCCTTGGTGGTGGGACTCGGTGAGGACGAATCTGGATTTAAGTGTGACTGAGCTGCCTCTCTCTCTGCTCTCTCTGCTCTCTCTGTCTCTCTCTCTCTCTCTGCCCTCTCTCTGTCTCTGCCTCTCTTCCCCTGCCTCTCTCTCTCTCTCTCTCTCTGCCTCTCTCTCTGCCTCTGTCTCTCTGCCTCTCTCTCTAGTCTCGGCTCGAGAGTGCCCTGCACTCAGACCGCAGCCGCGACGCGAAGCGCCCCGCCTCGGAGCCAGTCTCCCAGGCCTCGCGAGACCGGAGGGGTCCCAGCAGGACCCTACTGATTCGCGTCACCTCTTCCCTCCCACCAGAGCGCCCGCCGCAATGGCCCCCGCCAAGCCGGAGCGCCGTCGCTCTTCCAAGCAGCCGCCGAGCTCACGTCCTGCAGCTGAAGGATCCCTCCTCCAACGCAAACAGGACTGCATTGCAGCCTTCAAGCAAGCGGGGTCTGACCGCCCCACAGCCGCATACAACGGGCTCGCCGAGCTGAACGCGGACGAGCTGCAGGCCACGTACGACATGCACAAGACCAACACCAAGAAGCTCGGCAGTGCCTTGATTCGCATGTGTGCCGCCAACCAGATCAGCTACACGCTGGATCACCACCAGCGCAGCAAGCCTAAGCGCAATGGTGGTGACACATCCTATCCACCAGCTGCGTCCGCACGTCTTCAGGCTGCGGACGCCAAATTTATTGCCTTGGACCCGGCCTTCTGGAAGGTCCCAGTCCTGGCCGAACCCACATCACTCGACGACGGCAAGACGTACAAGCCCAGCATCAGCCTCCACGACTACGAGAGTGGCGAGCGGCTGCTGCAGCACCATCTCGAGCAGGGTAAGCGTACCACGGGTCAGCTCGCGATCGCTGTCATGGGCCCAAAAAACGACAACTACGTCGGCACCGAGCTCGCCGTCCCCGTGCTGAAGCGCCACCCCAAGGCGCCCAATGTGGTTCACACGCACGTCCCCGTGACCGTGTACCAGCTGGGCACCAAGGAAGTCGCCTGCACGGAAAAAGTAGCCGTCGCCACCATTGATCCTGCCGACCACGTATGCTGGATTCGGGTGACCATACATGAAACCGAAGCCATCGCCGCAGTCCCCTCCATGCATCAGGCCTTCGAGGATCAGTTTTCGGGAGGCGCCCCCGTGAACGGTGGTCCACGCGCCAAGGGTCCTTTCCGAGGGGATTCCGCTCCACAGGACAAGGCGCGCCAAAACCAAAAGCACAGGGAGTCTAAGAAAGACGCTCGCCGCCAGGAGCTCGACAGTCAGCTGCAGGACACCTTCAAGGCCCTTTTCCACGGCAACTTTAAAGCCGTCACTATCCTCGAACCCTGCAAAAGTCTAGGCAGGTACGGATCTGGCGTCGGAAAAAAGGTCCCTGGCTGCCACTTTCGGCGTCAGTCTTCAAGCAGTTGACAAGGTCTTGGCGGGTTCGGGGCAACTCGGCGCCACCTACGACCTCAGCAACGTAGGTGCGGACGAGCCCACGGCAGACAAGTACCAGACCGTGTGGTTCCCCGAGGACCAGCCCATCACGATGGCAGAGGCGTTTCAGAAGTCGGTGGACTTCAAAGCCCTAGGAGTCGTCAGGCACGGCAAGTCAGGCTTATTGGGGATCCGTGTTGCACGTGGGTCA